CTGGCAAAGAATCCAAAATTATCAGTCTTGAGTCAGTAAACTTGAGTATTCAAGAACTTGCAGTTTTTGAATCTTCAAAAGCTTTAGATAATGTTAGAAATTAAATTAAATTAGAAAAGGATGTCATTGTTGCACGATCACCGTATCGATTGTCTGAAAGCGAGAGGGCAGCTGTGTAAGAAATAACTACAGATTTAATGACGAATAAAGTTATCCAAACAAGTGAATCTCATGCCAGTCCCATGATACTTGTCAAAAAGAAGAATAGAGACGCTGTGTGGATTACCGGGAACTAAATCAACTTAGAATAGAAGTTAAATTTCCTCTTCCCAGCATCGATGATCAATTGGGTGAGGGGAAATATTTTACTTCTTTGGATATGGCGTCGGAATTTCATCAAATGCCCATACATGGTTCAAAAAACCGCATTTGTTACGCCCAATGGACATTCCGAGTTTTTGAGGATGCCATTTGGCTTAGCAACTGCCCCTCCTGTATTTCAGAGGGGCGTGAATTCGGATCTGGGCTCATTGAATTTGATTCCTAGTTGAATGAAGCTTGAAGCGCCGAGATCGTCGCTGATGTCAGTTTGGCCGCGTTAGAAACTAATTATTTTCGATATATTTGTTTAATGATTATTTAAATATCAACGAGCCGCTACTGGTCTCCTAGAATTGCCTACGTGCCGCTGGGAGTTCGCCTTGTAACGCGGGACACACCGACTAGTGGTCTTATTCTATGCTAGTGGTGTCACTCAGTGTCAAAGTTTGTGCGTGTGCGCCTTTGCGGGACGGGCAGTATTCAGAAAGCTCGTCGAGGTGCCGCTCTAGGCTTTCATTTCTTTTCTTCGTGTGTTTTGAAATTAAACGTAATTAATCTTTGATCAATCTTTTAACAATAAAGAGCCCTAAAAACTTTGAATTCCAGATTTTTAGATGTCTAGAATCTTTGAAGGTTATAGTCTTAGATGTTAAGCGAGCAGAGTCTTTAAAGAGGTGGTTCTTTAAAATATTTGGGGTCTTTAATTTTGAGACAATTTCTTTCTAGTTCCTAGGAGTTTAAATACCTATAAAGACCTATGGAGGAACTGGTAGACACATTATTTAGGAAAGGGGCATTGAAGACAATGCTCATGCAACCTAATCAACACGCCTAGAGGACTGTCATGTCAACTGAGACGGCTCTTCACAGCCTTGTGGCAAGGCTGGAGCGAAGGATCTCTCACAAAGAGATGGCTTTGGCTTTCTAGATATCGAAGAGGCATTTAATAACACCTCCTTCGACTGCAGAAAGTTTTGGCATAGAGAAAATCGATGTCATATGGATCTGTGTCATCCTTGAAGGCAAAATCATTACAAGCTCGATTGGATGTGCGAAGATCAGCTCAATTGTAGCCAGGCTGCCCGCAGGGGGTGTATTATCTCCCTTGCTGTGGTGCCTGTTATGTTCATAAGAGGCTGGGTCACAGAACATATCCCCTCTAGAAAAATGGGAGAATCGTGACGAAGGTTTTTAGTCAACGATGGCGACACTGTCGGGAGACAAGAGAAATTTGCAGGTATCTGTGGTGTGGACCAATGCATTTCGTGTGGACAGTGATTTGTGTTGATTGATTTTGTCATTTTGAACTTCATAATTTGAATTTATGAATTGCGTTGTTGTACCCCACGGTCCCCACGCGCGTGAAAGTGAAAATTTAAAAAGTTCTGGTTGAAAAAAAACCCTAATTTTTGTTAGAATTTTTTTGAATCTATTGGTTTCTATAGTTTCGTTCGTATTAGTATTTATTATTCGTATTTACTTGGCGATCTCTACCTATAGCTGCGTGTTGCTTGCTAACTCTTTAAACTCTTTTTGCAATATGTTCGACATTGGAAACTTCCTGCCATTCACAGTTTTCAAGAAAATGAGGCGAAAAGAGCTAAAAAGAGTCAGCAAGCCAAAGGCAGTCAAACATTAAAAATTATTGAAAAATAATAAAAATAAATCAAAAAATCGATGCGCCTTTTTGTCAAGAATGCTCGATTAGTTGGGTTTCAAGTCAACGATGGCGCTGTAATTCATAACCGGTAGGTAACATTGCAGATAAAGTTTTTTTTTTAAGATAATTAGACCTATTTATTTTTACCTGGTATGAGCGCGCAACACGAGGCATTGCCTTTCTATTGGCTTACTAGTACAGGTGAGAGGTGTTCGATTTGCACGCTGGACATCTCCTTGTCCTTGTTCATTGCCCGTGGTCTGACAAGAATAAAAGTCCGATTGATATTCAACTTGACATAGCTTGACGAGTGACATTCAAAAGTTGTTTGAAGTTTTCATTGACAAATAAAGTCTGTTTTTTTTTTAAGATAATACCCAAGCAGCAAAGGTTGGTCGATATGACGTCGCTTTCAGGTAGATTTACGTCCACAACGTCGATAAACCAAAAATCGACGTCGAAAAGACGTTGCAAAATATGACTTGTTTGGGACGTCACATAGTGGACGTTTATTTGACGTCTAAAAATGGTCGATACAGTCCAATACGTTGATAACGACGTCGAGTGGACGTAACAGTAAAAATTTAAAAAAAGTATCGCGAATTACTATTGTGTAATATATGCTAAATTAGATACACTTATAATTCGCGAAAATTTCAAAGTGGGCGACATCTATTATCGAATCTGTAAGCTCATCCATATCAGTGAACAACAAAGCCGATTTGTATGTATGAAGATGATATTAATCTCCGACTTTTGTGCTCAAATAATATATTTCCGACTTCAATTAATTAATTAACAAGAGCTAATACATATGGCATTCGATAAAAGACAAACCCTCCCTTAAGCCCCGTGCCTACAGCGTTTGTTGTTCACTACTATAGAATCCATATTGGAAAAATTCAGCGCAATTTAATTTATTGGTGACTGATTTTCGCGAATTCGATAAAGATAAAACAGCGCAGCACAATTTTCATTTTCAAATTAAATTCAAAGCGCGGCAAACGCATTTCGGCAAGGCTCGGACCTTCTCGGGAGCAGTCGTACCCGATCCGCCAATGTGCCACCCGTCGATTGGTCGATTCGTCATCGTCAACGTCAATCGTCTTCCATCTTGCTTCTTGCTTTGCGTTCCTGTGTGTGTTGTTTGTTGTTTGCTGTTCGCTTCGCTTCGCATGGCCGGCTCGCCGTTTGTGTTTGTGGTGTGGTAAATGGTAATTAGTAATTATTAAATTACTAATTTGGTGAAGTGATTGTGGCTTCAGTCGGATTAGGTTCGATTTCTGGTAAGTAGAATATTGAGTGTAAAATATATGAATAGGTTGACCGTTTCGTTGCTATATTTCTGGACTCATGGCGTTCTTTTTTCAAAATGGCCATGATCAAATTGATTGCATTGCCGCGTAATTTTTTGATTTGATTAATTTTTTTTCTCATTCATTTACAGGGTTGTGAAATTTCTGTTAATTTTTAGGGTGATTTCTAAGAATCGCCTGAAAATATACCATCGACAATTCCACTCATGTATAAATAATCCCATTTGAAATGTCAAAAATCGTAGTTTGTAAGCGGATAAATAGGAAGGAAGAGAAAATATAACTGGATAAAAAAATCGGATATTTTTTCTGTTGATGCAATCGTTACCATAGTAACAATTGCATATAAAATTGATTTTTGAATCATCTGTCAAATAATTGTCACAAAAATTCACAAGTTCTATCATTTTAGCTTATTAAAAGTGTATTTTTAAATAAAATTAAAAATATTTTCAACATGCAGCGATTTGGGACAATTAAAGATGAATTAATAGCGAAATAGAAAATTCAATTCCTGAGAACACAGTCTTCTTCTCTTTCTGTAGAGTCAAATTTTAAGGGGCAAAATATTTATTCTAATTGTACCTTCAATAACTGTTCATTTTAAAAAGTAAATATTTCCATATTTTATTTTGATTATGCATTCGTGGAATTGCCGTACTAAATACCATTCGAGCTCAGATTTTGAGCAGGATATTTTTTTGCTTGCTCTCTCATACTTACTTTCATGCAATTTATCTCGATCTGTTCCACAAAATCACTCGAGCTGCGCTCTCGTGATTTTGTCGGAACAGCTCTCGTTAAATTTCCTAAAAGTAAGTATTCGGGACCAAGCCAAAAAATATCCGGCTAAATCTGAGCTCTTATGGTATTACCTACGATTATTTCAATAACTATTGATTTTTGGGACACAATTTGAATCCAACTAATCTAAAGATTATTGCTTTGTCAATACCGATGTTTTTTTTGGACAATAAAGCTTACTTCTTATTTGATTTGAACAATTCATATTCGAGCCATCACTACAAACTACTTTTTTTTCCAAATAAGCATGAACCTGGACTATTTCTTATTCATATTATTGGCCCATTTTGTAGGAAATTCTGAGAGAAACAAACAGAATTTTGGTCGGAACTTTTTACTACAAAAGCTAGGTTTGGCTAGTCAGCACATAGTTGAAGTAGAGTATGAGCAGATTTGGGTATTTCTATCACGTGATCTATGAGTGGTTAGAAATCCATGACCAAATGACTTAAAAAGTAATACCCAAACGAAGCAACTTGGAGTGCACAGGCTGAGGAAGCTGAAGCTCTCAGCTAAAGTAGAAAAAATAAATTCGAATACGTCATTGGTATGTGGGAATTGTGGGATGTACCATGTTTCAAAGCGAGCAAAATTATAAAACTTTTAAATTCAAATTGTTTCCCAAAAATCAATAGTTTTTAAACGAGTTTTAAAAATAATCGATGAAATAATAATATGAATCTTGGAAATCCCCCTGTATTTCAGAAAATAACAGATATTTCACAACTCTGTAAAGGAATGAGCATTAAAAGAGGAAACTTTTCTGTTATTCAACCACCCTCGTTCCGTAGCTCTTACCATTTCGAATATAAAAGTAGTGGGACATGGTATTATGGACACCCTGTAGATACATTAGAGTAATCTATTGTTTTATTTCCTGTAATACTTATAGATCCACGATGTTTGCAGTAATAGAATTCAAAGAAGCAGATGGTGGTGGGCTCTCACTAGTTAATTCCCAGTGGCTTACTCCCAGAAAACAAGAGGTATTCTGGCCGCCTATAAAAAATAGTTCAAATTTTAGCAAGGTATTGCGTAGAGTCGAACAGGACATAGACCCCGATAAATGGAAATTATTTGGAGTAGAAAAAGTTTTCTATGAAACTGGTAAGCCTTTATTGTCTATATTAATTTGGTTGGGGCTCGATTTTTTTTTCAATTTCAAAATACGTATAGGTTGGCGAAAGAATATGTTGTTCATAGGATCACTTTGACTTTTGAGCCGGCATTTCCTTATTTTTGGTTGGAGATTTGATTTGAATTTTGTTTGTTGTTTTAGGAGCTGCTGAGTGAATCCCATTATTTTAAAATTAAATGTCAATTTAAAAAGAATCTACGAGACCCAGAGATAAAATTTTTATTAACACTGAAGTTTTTATTCAAAATTTCAATGTTATTGTCACTCTACTTAGTTGAACGTCGAACCGGAATTTGTCAATTTTAGATGCTCCAAAAGTTGTTATTTTTCTAACCAACACTCCTTTCCTGCATCCAATTACTATAACAGACTATGATGTCATAATCTTGATTTTTTGTTTAACTTACACCAAAAAAAAAGTCTGTTATTGTTTTTTATTGACTGATTAGATCAAAATGAGTCAGAACACATAAAAGCTATAGGGGTGCGACACATGGAAGGTATACCTAGGATTTGTTTTTCAGAGGACTTTGATAAAGCTAAAGAAAAATTGAGGCAAGCCGAGGTAACTTCTGATCTTCACACAGATCTAGATGAGGACCCTGAAGAGAAGAGAAGACTTAAAAGAAAAATAATTAAAAAAAAAGTTTTCTCTGATACTGATGATGATGAAAACGAAAATGATTGCTCACCCCCAAAAAAGTTGACAACAAAAAAGAAACTGGACCTTAATCTACCACGTCCCCCACGTATCCAATTGAAGCTGAATAATAATTATTATACACAAAAAACAGGTCAGGTCTTTTTCATTATTATTGCACATTCTCAAGCATTTTTTTCACATTAGAAAATATCAGGGAATTTAAATTAGGCGCATGGTTGACAAAAAACTGAAAAAAATCCAGTACAAAATTTTCAAGTAGAGTCCATTTTTCTCCAATTTCCTCTGATTTTTGAATATTAACCAAAGTTGTGCTCTCTTTGAGCTTATTCCAATGTTGTCAGGTTTCAAGAAGTTTGTCTTAAGGTTTTGAAAAAAAAAATGGGAGTAATTTTCTCTTTAAGGAAAAAATGGGTTAGAAAGAAATAAATCATTGAATGATGATTGGGGGACTTGACTCAATTTTTTTTATTGCTGATTTCATTAGTAAATGAAAAATAAGTCATAATATGTGTTTTTTTCTTGTTCATGTAACTTTTGGAAAAATTATATTTAGACAAAATAAAAAAATACGTATCGATTCTTTTTCGATTTTCTACAGTTTGCAATAAACAATAATCAATTAAATTTTTTAGGCAAGTTCCCTATCTCTTTCTTACTTACTGTTCCTTAAAGAAATCTGCTCAGAAGAAGTATTAATGATATTATGAAAAATTGTAGGCCTCTCTCAAAACACGGCAGAGGAAGAAGAAGAAGCCAGTCAAATAGAATCAGATGTCGATGATGGGGGCGATACAAGCATGAATATTTCAGAGCAGAATTATAGAGTACGTCTGTCCACACCAAAATCTTCTACTTCCACAGGTAGATTCTGTTTTTGCAAACACTTCCTTTTAATGTTTTTTATTCTTTATTAGTCACAGACAATCTTTCTGTAGAAAGCTTGGAAAATAAATATAACAAAATTGCTCAAAAAACAAGGTTATTTTGTTTTAGGACATTCTTCTGTTGTACACGACGTTTCACAACGTTCGACACCATGCACTGATCCAAGCTCAGTGGATTTTGATAACAATCTCCGTGATATGCCCGGTAATAGCTTTTTTATTAACAGTTTATTTTCCTGCTTGGTATAACAAAATTGTATTTTTCTAGCATTCAAGACGCTTCTAGAAAATGTTTTGAAAGTTAAGGCACAAAACAGACAAATTTTGAGTATTCTTAAAAAATCTACTCCTACACAAATTGTTGGTTTGCCTGAAAGTCTACCTGTCAACTTGCCAGTTTCTGAACTAGAAGATTTAGCGAAACTGGAAAGCTTCCTTGAAGAGGAAGAACATCTTTGTCACTTTGTAAGTTCCTATAAGTTAACATTTGGACTTAATTAAATTCAATTCTAATTCAACTTAGTAAGCTTTTTTCAATGTCATAATTTTTTTTCTTAGTGTCCAAGTATCTTGGGCAACTAACTCAGAAATAAAATGTTTTAATTTTATTATTTAACTAATTAGTTGATAATGTTTCCAGAAATCCTATTGCCTATCCATATGAAACTCCAAAGATTTAGTCCAGAAGACTAATAGACTTCTCCGAAGTATTATCTCTGACACCGTGGCCAAGAAATATAATTACTTTGGAAACAACAGAAACAAGTCCACCAAGGAAGCTGAAAAAAGCCCATTTTGTAGACTTCATCTGAACAAAGTCATAATAGGTAAGCATTAAATTGTTATTAGGAGATTTGGGAGTAAAGTATAGCAAGGCTGAGAGCAAGGTTTTCTTAAAATTTGACCAAATTAAAAAAAAAACAATGCACACAGACGTACTTACTTTGTAATTTTATGATTTATAAAAATGCTTTGAATTTTTTTTTCCTAAATCACTCCTTTTTGTCCTTATTACAGATGCTGTAAAGCACCAATGCGTTTCCGATTTTTTTTCGAAAGCAAGATAATAGCAAAGAGTGGTGAAGCTTTAAAATTTACTCCCTGTCAACCTATATCAAATGTATTTCATTTTCCTAAGTCAACGAAAAATAGATGAGAATGTCAGTCTTTTAGCCACCTCTTGAATTTCCTACTGTTTTTTTATTGATACATTATAGTACATCTAGGTCCTATCGTACTGTTAGATAATAGAAGATTATTTTTTGTTTTTTTTTTTTAGAGATTTATTTCGTTTAAAATAAACTGGTACCAAGGCCTTCATGATAATAATATATCAGAAATAAATTATTATAACATTCAACCAAGTATAGGTAGTACAAGGTTCCTACGTAAGATTGTATGATTGATTCTATGATTCTTAGTGTTTAATTTTTTTCTGGTACCTACTTGTATTGTATTCCAGTTTGAATAAAAATTTTACTTACAAAACTGAAAAAAAGGATGCATTTATTTTTCGAATCCAAATCGATGAAACCCAATATAACCCATCAAAAAAAAAAAAAAAAAAAAACCTGTATTAAGACGTCTATAAGGCGTCCATTTGACGTTGATTATACGTCACTTCTTCGTCACTAGACAACGTCGCTTCTACGTCACTAGACAACGTCACTTCTACTATGACATTGTGACGTCTAAGCGACGTATATTGGAACGTAGATTAGACATACCTCGACGTCACTAAATGACGTTGAATGAACGTGGAATTGACGTAAGCTTGCTGCTTGGGTAGGGAACTTTACAATTTTTTATTTTATTTTTTTAAATCATTTATTTATGCCTTGAAAGAGTATTCCCCAAATATTATTCCCTAAAACTCAATAATAACTTGGTGAAAAATGTTTAAAGTTTCGTGCGAATTAAAAGCTTTTCAAACGACCTTAAATCTGGATGACGTCACGTTGTATGATTTTGCGTTAAGCCGGCGCCACACGATGTGTCCAACCATTGGCCCCAACGTTAGATTCAACGTTGGGTACAGTGTTTTTTGCTCTAGCATTCGGCAAATGCACATACCTACTTACTTTTGTTACTATAAACATATCACAAATTACAGATTGGCGGATTGCCCTTTGGAATTTCCTTCTTCGGTCATAATTAATAGGTATATCGTTTTATTTATATAATGCTATGCTAATCATTGAATTTGAGCGAAGTAAACCAATTCTAATATTGATAAAATTTTAAAAAATCAGAGAAAAACGTAAATAAACACAGCTAACGGGTATTTATTATGTAGAATTCGAGTAAACGCTCGGAGTTGCTGTTTTGTTCTTTTATCCCTGTTCTTCTCATCATAAGAAAAAAAGACGGAAAATGCTCCGAGTGCTCAGTGTTTCAAGACGAACTCACGGTATGATGGACGGTTGCTAACAGACACTGACAAATCATACTACATGACGTCACGACCAGTACCAGAGCGTTTTTTCCCGCTGGAAATAATTTGAATTTTTCTGCATTTTCAATTCCTTATTGTGACCGTTTGCGACAAAAAAAATTGTTTTTTTCGCTGATATAGGTTTCAATTAATGTATTCTTATGATGTAGAGTAATATTTTCATGTTTAAATTTTTTGTCAAGTTCCCTATTCTGCAAGTCGAAAATTTAGTAACTAGGTTGGCAACACAAGCCTTTTCTATATAAAAATTTGAGAGCATTGACAATTTTACATTGTATTGCCAACATAATGTCATTTTGACTTTTATCTTTGAAAAAAGAAACAGATTTTACGTTGCACAACACGCGATCTTTTTCCTTCCTTTTTTATCCCGTGCAAATAAGAAGAACAAATTGCTATACGTAATTCTAACATGAGTCCATGAGTAGAACCCAAGTGAAGCTGTCCAATCTCAGTACATTTTGTATAGTCAGAGTTTCCTAGATCGTGCGGTTCGTAGTATGGTTTGAAAAGTGTAGTGTGAGTCTGCGTCATTTTATATCATGGCACTTATAGGCAACATAGAGCCATTTAATCCTGTCTCAGGGGACTTTGTAAGTTGGTTGGAACGCTTAGATCAATTATTTATCCGCAATGAGGTGCCAGACCTGAATTGCCAAGCAATAAGGATTTTGATAGGATTACTTTAGTCCTGAAACGATTACTATTGCTGAGCAGTTCAAATTTTATAAATGTGTACAAGAACCATGTGATTCAGTTTCATTGTTTATAGTTGAACTTAAAAATGCTGCAAAAGTTTGATCATTTGGTCTGTTTTTGGATGAAGCCTCAACAGACAGATTTGTGTGCGCGTTGGCATCATCATCGTCTTAGAGGAAATTATTAACAGAGATAAATTTAACATTTAAGAGAGCTTGTGAGTTGGCCTTTGGTAGCACAGTCAAAATTGTTCCAACCTATTAATAATATGGACAAATTAGGTGCAGTATATGGGAACGGTTCTTCAAAAAAACCAATGAGGTCTATTCCACCTGCAAGATCCCAAAATTTTAAATGTTTCCGCTGTGAAAGAGCGCGTGACCCAACAACATGTCCAGCAGTGGATTGGAATTTCTTTTCGTGTTGTAGGAAAGGCCATGTTTCATCGTTGTGCAAGGCAACATAATTGTATAGCTTGGATGAGGTAGAAGGCAGTGTCTCCGAAAAATCACAGGAGATGCTTTATTAAGTCGATGAAAAAGATGATGTATTGGCTCATTTGGCAGCCTTAAGCCAATCTAATGGAGCAAAGTAAGTTGGGATTCTGATCAATGGAGATTGACTCCAAGGTTAGTGATTGACTCAGGTGCTTCAAGATCAGTGATTTCGAATTGTTTATATAAAAAGTTATTTTTGGCTTTTCCTCTTAGGCCAGTAGCATGTAAGTTGAGAGTTGTAACTGGTCAATCAGTCTCAGCAGTTGGAGAGATGCTTGCTGATATTTTCTATAACAGTCATTAATTTACATTTTTTAGAAGTTTTATCTTCTGTTATATAATTCACAGCGTGTTCAATTTTAATGGCATGCAGACGTTTCAATTAAAATTGATGGTTGGTCTTCACAGCTAACAACTTAAAATTGATGAAAGACTTGATCGACAAGGTAGAAATGAAATAGGTCTTGGTAGCTCAGTTGGTAGACCGTTGCACTGGAAATGCGAGGGTCCTGGGTTCAAATCCTAGTCGAGGCAAGAAAATTTTTCATCAATTTCAATTGAAACGTCTGCATGCCATTAAAATTAATTGAAATTACCTTTGCTTTTTATAAATGCTGAGAAAATTTTTAACCTGCTCCTGGGACATTTTTATTAACAATGTGTCGGATAAAACTGTATTTGGTGACATAAACAAATTAATTGCATGTTTTACATCAAGGTTTCCGGCAGTATTTTCAGGAAATACGATTGAGCCTACAAGAAATATTCTATTTTTTGGACTCAAAGAGAATTCTTGTCCAATTTTCCGAAAACCATACAACGTACTTCATGCTTTTCACGATAAACTGAAAAGCAAACTTGATGAATATGTCAATGAGGGCATTTTAGTTCCTATAAGCACTAGTAATTGGGCAAGCCCCATTATTATCGTCCCTAAGAAAAATGGGGATATCAGGGTGTGTGTGGATTTCAAGGTTTCTTTAAATCGGGTATTATGTTAGGATATTTATCCCCTTCCCAATATAAACGATCTTCTATCAAAATTGAACGGTGATAAGGTTTTTTGTACTCTTGATTTATTTGGTGCTTATCAACAATTGCTTGTTGATCCCTCATCTCAGGAACTTTTAATTATAAACACTAATTTGGATCTATTCAGATACACTCGGCTGAATTATGGCACTTCCGCTATTTTTCAGATGACCACGGACAAATAAACAGGTTAAATAATGTGTATCTGGATGATATTCTGATTATGGGCAAGGCTTTTGCTAAATGTTATGAAAATTTGTATTAAGTGTTACAACGGTTGTCGGAATTTAATCTGAAAATTAACCTTTCCAAATGTGAATTTTTCGTGAGTTCTGTGGAATAATTGGATCTTGAGATAGATGCAGAAGGTATTCATCCCACATCTGAAAAGGTTGAAGCGATTGTGAATGCCCCTGTCCCTAAAAATCTGTCTGAGCTAAGAGCATTTTTGGGGTAACTAAATTTCTATAACAAGTTCCTTCCAATGCTATCATCTGTGTTGAAACCTCTATATCATTTATTAGAGAAGGGTGTAGATTTTAATTGGAATACAGCCTGCTAGAAGGCATTTGTTTCAGGAAAAAAGAACTTCTATCAGGTAACCAAGTACTCGTTCATTTCGACCCGGAGAAGCCACTTAAGTTGGTTTGCCATTCTAGTTCGTATAGAGTTGGTACAGTGTTTTGCCATGTTGTAGATGGGTTTGATAGACCAATCTGGTTTATATCTAGTACTCTGTCAGAAGCAGAGAAAAACTACTCTCAACTAGAATGTGAGGCATTAGCAATACTGTTTGGAGTTAAGCGCCGGTTCCACAAGTTTTTGTATGGTCGAGTATTCATTTTGGAATCAGATCATCAGCCTCTACAAGTTATTTTCAATTCATCAAAGTCATTGCCAACAATTGCAACATCTAGAATAACAAGATGGGTGGTATTTTTATCAGCATACAATTATAGAATAGTGTATAAGAAAAGTTCACAGATTGGCCATGCCGATGGGCTCTCAAGATTGCCCTTGAAGTCTCCGATACAGGTACTTTATATTAATTCATTCAATTTATCAGAAAGTGTACCGATTTCTTCTTATGATATTGCTTTCCACACCAACAGGGATAGAATTTTATCTAGGGTTAACGATTAGTCTATAAAAGGGTGCCGCAGTCTGTTTCTGATCCCTTATTTTTTAAAAAGGAATGAGTGGAGAAGGGTTGTATCATGTGGGGAAGCCGTGTCATTGTTCCAAATTCTTCAAGACTCAATGTATTGCGTGTCCTCCATGAAAGTCATATTGGAGTGGTCAGGTCCAAAAAGCTTGCTCGGTCTGTATTCTGGTGGCCAAATCTTACTGAAGAAATTGAGAATTTTATTGGTAGTTACGAAACGTGCCAGATGACTCAAAATAATCTACCTGATAGGAACTTGTTGTCTTGGCCAAGGCCACCGGAAGTCTGGTTTAGAGTATACATTGTTTTTTTTGAAAGGATTTAAATGAATTTTTGTTAATTTTTGATAGTTATTCAAAGTGGGTAGATATACATTTAATGTCTTCTACTACAGCTATGGCTACCATTGATAGACTAAAGATTACTTTTTCTACTTTTGGCTTACCAAACCAGTTAGTCAGTGATAATGGCCCTCCATATGGTTCGGCTGAATTCATCAAATTCTGTCAGCCCAACGGCATTGAACCAATTTTAGCTCCTCCTATTCATCCTTCATCAAATGGAATAGCAGAAAAAGGCGTACAAGAGATTTAAAAAAAATTGTTGAGACAGTTATATGATGAGAACAAAGCTAGATATTCTTTGTCTATGTCAGCTAGATTGAGCCAATTTCTGTTAGCCTATAGAAATACGCCTTGTACGTCGACTGGGTTGTCACCTTTCCAAATAATGTTTAAAATAAAATCTCGTACGCGTCTGAGTTTATTGAAACCGGACATTAATCACTCGGTTAGCAAACAAAAATTTGAACCCGGTATTGTGAGTCAATTGTTTGTGACCCGAGAGAGTGTTGTTATAATTTAAAAAGACTGATAGGTAAGTTCTGGGTTTATGGTATTGTTGTAAAGGTGTTGAGTACTGTCACTCATTAAATTAAAGTTAATGACATTATGAGAATGTTTCATAGTGATTATATCGGGAAAGACACCAAAAAATCAGTACATGGTTGTCCATTTTTTGTTAACTTGGAGCTAGCAGTATCTGATCAGACATCTGCACCTGCTGATCTTCCTCCGACATTTCTCACCGTACAGCGCTTATCGAGTTCTGAAGTGGTAGCAGGTTCCCCAGAATTTATTGGAGAAATGCAGAAAAGAGTTTCTTTACCCGCGTCAATTACTGTGACATATTATCCAGGCAGATTGAGAATAATTGGGAGACAGCAGTGACAGTCTCAGATACTCTGGGTTCGACTCTATTGAGGAAATCCACTAGGGTTCTGAAACCTGTAACTAGACTAGACTTGTGAATTATTTAATTTTGTAAGTTTGTTTTTTGTTGTGTCAAATGTGCGTGAGTGGTATTGTTATTGATGAACATTTGAAAAAGTGTCAAGTGAAATATATTTTTGTCAAGTCTTAAGTGGATTTTGAGAAGCTTGTCTGCAATTATTGTGTTATTAATTGCCAAGTTCAGGTCATCTAAATACACAACAGTGCTGCATGGGCTGCTCCGCACTCTGAACGA